CTTAGCAGAAGCCCATAATCACTGAGTCAGAAACAGAAACAATTTCAGATTTTCATAACTGTGTTAAAAAATTTTACAGCCATATCAGATGATCAAGATTGGTCTGTTGATTGAACTGGTTCATTGGTCACCATGCCATATTTTCATCTACTACTAGAAACACCTACTGCTGCTCTATGGTCAAATAACTTCATCCAAGTCAGCGAAGTTGCGCACGTTTCTGCAGACATTAAGTTGCCGTTTTTATACTGGCAAACAAACCACAGTAAATTTTCAACTACCTACACGTTAGTCATCATCAGCGCAGTCTTCGACATGTACAATTCGTACAGCTATACTATTCACAATCTGTTAGACTTTTCAGATCATGTCAAATAACCACCGTCAGGAAGAACAATAAAAAAAATAAATACCTCGATGAGAAAATGACCTCTGCGGCAGCAGGCAGTACCATTTTTAGAAGGTCAGACAGACACCATAAATCTGTGTTAATTTTCTAACCTTGATGCCTTCCTAACTTTAGAATCGATGACAACAACAGATCAATTTTATTTTTTAAACTATTTCTGATATGGTCCCTGAAGATGGTTTTAGTGCGATTCGAAACATCGGTTCATGTAATTACGATAACCATGAGGAATAAACCTCTTGATTTTTTTTCCAATGGAAAATTATGAACCCCCTAGGATTATATTTTTATAACCTTATCTTCGTATAACTACTGAAAGAAAATTTCATCACTGATTACGATTTCGTGTTATCTGGTATGTTCTTTTGCTGCTTCGCGGATGCACTGATTTCTGAATGCAAGTCAAACTCATTCAGCGAATAAACTACTACTCCACCATCTACTATCTCATCTTGACCGTTTGTTTGTATGAATGACTGCCTCATTGAGTGACACGGCTATTTATTTACTTAAGAACTGATTGATTGATAAACCAGCCGATTAAATGACTGACTTGCTTAGTAATCAAATCAGAAAATATTGATTCCTGCGATTAATTCTATCCGGTACTGAAATGCATACATAGTAAATAATTTTCGTTCAGAACCATAAACAGACTGATACTCCACCGTACGATATGTAACGCAACTTGCGTCGACGTAGTGCTCAGTCTATAATATAAAGAAGTTATGGTCTGCTTACGTAACACTCGAGACTTCTAGTTATGTAGCGATGTCATAACGTCATACGACTAGACGGATAACACAGTATCGAAGGTATGGCATACGAGTATCGTTGTACTAGTACTGTTGAGAATCTCTATCTCATACCATCGACCGAGAAGTTGAATTATTAGCCGCATACAGAATCGGGAAGAGTTTGAAAAACTTTTGTCTTTTCACTTATTTACCTATATGGTTTTTATTTACTCACACATTAATACATTCACTACAGCTATCATTTAATATTTACTTACTTACCTATTTACCTACCAGCCTATCTACTTCTCTGCTTGCTTAGGTGTTTGATTGCACTTACTTAACGTCATTTGTTAATTTAGATAGTTTCTTATATACACATTTATTTATTCCTTTCTGGTTTTATATCTAGTACTGATAATTTGTTAACCATCAGGCGAATCAAAACGAAATGCAGCTCTACGCCTTTGCATCAGGCAACATGGTAGTACAACTAGATTATCCTAGTGTATATAAACAAAACACCAAGCTGTCGCTAATACTGACAGGTAAACTATTTGCTATCCGCTTCTAAAAGGGCCGTAGCAAGGCAAGGTGGGGTGAATTTTTTCCTTGATGCAATTAGCAACCGCACATGGATTTCGAATCCGGCATCACTGCAAACCACTTATTCACTGCACTACAATTTTGTTTGCTTACCCCAGTTCTTCCTCTATCATTCGTATTTTAACAACTAAATTACTGCTAGCATACCTGCCTACTTGCTCACAATATTATTTATTTATTTACTTCCTTGCATTTTTACATATATTCTTATTAACCTGCTTACTTACTTATATAGTTACTGATATATCTAGTCAGCTATCTTTTGAAATTCATACCGAGCCAATGCCAATATTTTAAATAATCAGTCTTTTAAACGTTAAGACCTGGGATACGATTGTCATAGACACAAAAATATACATCGGCATATTATAATCTAAGGGCTTTGGTTGAAAACAGTGACACGATGTCGTCGCGTTTAATTTGTGACTGTATCCATAGCATTTCAAGAAATGACAGACAGGAGACTTCTATGTTTATGTATTCACTTAACTGGTTGTATACTTACATACTTACACACTGACTTGGAAACATGCATACGTAGATGCATGATTAATTACGTTCCTACATATTTGCATACTAAATTACATATTTACTCATACTTACCGAGTGACTTAATTGCTCATGTATTTACGATACTAACTTACCTACTTAAGCTTGATCTCACTAATACACCTTACTTTAATTACGTATTTATTTGCCGACTCGCATGCCTGATTGCTTTTCTCCTCTTCGGCTGCCCACCTATTTGACCAAATACAAAAATACTTACTTGCCTGTCTGATTAATTTCGCACCTAATGTTTCGTAACTTAATTACTTATTTGTATAAAATTAACAACCAGGAAAATGGAGCAACTGCTGATCAATGGCTTATCTCACCGACAGCAGTTCAGAAAAACTACACCTAAAACTACGCTGCTACCAACAGAATAAAGCTAGCGCATTTTGGTGTCGTTCTCATCGACTATAATAACTCCGATGATAGCCTAGAAACGAAACGATGGAAACCACAACGATGTCAGGTGCAAAAAAGCTGGAGCTCTGCAATGACATTACGTCAAAAAAAACACTGCAGCCAAAAGGAACGATACCGAGTTGGATATCGCAGTGATAAGGCATTTATTATGTCATTCGCTGGTCACGATGAAGACTAAGGATCGCATGACAGCGGTAAACACCATAGTGTCTACACCTCAGCTGTGTTTGTAGTCAAGAAGATCAGTTACCAACCTCAGAACTGCCGACTAACTGAGAGCACGCAGATCCGACTTCCGACCTAGAAATAATCAA